TCGATGGAGGCCATTCGCTCACACCCTCCCTGACCCAAAGGAACACTTGTTCTTTCTTTTCTTTTTTTTGCGGAATCGGGGATTAAACTCAGATTCTCGTGCTTGCCAGGTAAGCGCTTATTCTACTGAGCCATCTCCCTGGCCCCTAAAGTTCCGAAGAATTCTTTTTCTCCCCTTAGGATGCCTTAAGGGCAAAATTGTCACTCAGATCATTTTCTTTTTCTTTCTTTCTTTTCTTTTTTTCTTTTTTCTTTTTTGGCAGAACCAGGGATTGAACTCAGCCCCTTGCACTTGCTAGGCAAGCGCTTATTCTACTGAGCTATTTCCCCAGTCCCCCCAAAGGAACATTTGACAAAGCACAGAGACACTTTTGATTGTCAAACACATGGGAGACGGATGCTACTGTCTCCTAGCAGATGCCAGGAATCAGCCCCATGAGACGAACTACCTGGGGTGGGTGTGGTGGCACAGGGCTGGCTACCTGGGAGGCTGAGGCAGAGGGATGGCAAGCTCAGGCCTGGTCGGGCCAACTTCACAAGACCTTGTCTCACAATATAGAAGGGGTTGGCAGAGAATTTGTGTAGCACGTGTGAATCCCTGAGTTTGATCCTTAGCACCACAAGCAAATATAAAACAAGGTGCAAAATGTCACCGTATGGAAGTATTTTTTTGTTTTGTAATTAAACCCAGAAGTTGTGAATGCAGCCGAGGCTGCCAGGGGCCTGCAGGCCCTGGTGGTTGCCGACTAGTCAGGAGGGCCGGCTGTCACACACTGCGGAGCTGAGCACCGCGTGGGGGTCCACAGGCCCTGTCTGCACCGGGGCTCCCGAGGCTGAGAGGGAAGATCCACCGCAGGCCTCTTCCTGCGCCTCCTCCCCCGGCTTCCCACTATGCTACTCCTCCATCCCGGTCCACGTTTTCCATTCTATAAGGATGCCGGTCCTACAGGAGTGGTCCCCACTCTAATGACGTCATTTCACCTTGATTGTCTCTATAAAGACCGTTTCCAAACAAGGACCCATTCTGAGGAACTGAGGTATTGAGGTACTGAGGTACTAAGGACTGACCACAGTCGTCTCTCTTGTTTCAGGGAGAAGCAATTCAACTTGAAACAACTAAGTGCAATCTATGATCTGGGATGGGAGATTTCACATATATATATATATATATATATATATATATTCTGCCAAAAAGGTATAGGTCAGGAAAAAGAATACTTGTATAAACATTTTATTTTATATAAATATTTTAATATTAAATTTATTGAGACATCATGAGATTAATACAAATTATCTTTAGCTTCTACAATTATAAAAGGTGCTCAAAGGCCGGGAAGATGGCTCAGTGGAATGAGAGCTTCCTTGGCAAGCACAAGGGCCTGAGTTCAATCCCCGGTTCCACCAAAAAAAAAAAGAAGAAGAAGTGCTCAGGGTCTGGGGATATAGCCTAATGACACAGCACCTGCCCAGCAAGCACCAAGTGCTGAGTTCAATTCCTAATGTATGCATATAAAAAAAGAGGAGGCCATTAACTTCCAGACATTCATTAGTGCAGTACTGATGAAGTGTGTATAACATTTTTGGTGGTTGGCTGTCTTGTCTGTCTGTCTGTCTATCTATCTATCTATCTATCTATCTAGTTTTGTTGTTTTGAGACAGCATCTCACTATGCGGCTCAGGCTGGCTTCAAATTCACAGCACTCTTCCTGCCTCAGCCTCCCAAGGGCTGGGGTTACACGAGTGTGTCATCACCCCTGGCTGTCTAGGTTTTGTGTATGTGGGTTTTTTTTTTTTTTTTTTTTTTTTTACCATATGGGACTTTGCCATGTTGCTGAGGCTGGCTCCAAAATCATGGGCTCAAGTGATCCTCCCAAGTGGCTGGGATAACAGTTAAATTAAGAAGTTATTAGTGGGGCTGGTTGGATGGCTCAGTGGTCTAAAGCACCTACTCAGAACAAGCTTAGCAAAACACAGGGACTGTGGTTCAATCCCCCAGCACCACATGCCAGCCAGCCCCGCCCCCTGGTGGACTGAGCTGCCCCCCCCAATAAATAAGTAAATAAATAAAAAGAAGTTATTAGTGGGTGTGATGGTCCACACCTCTAATCGCAGCACTTGGGAGGCTGAGGCAGAAGGATCGCCACAAATTTGAGGCCAGCCTGGAGTACATAGTGAGTTTGAAGCCAGCCTGAATTACATGTGAGGCCCTGTCTCAAAAGAAAAAAAAAAAAAGAAAAAGAAAGAAAGAAAAGAAATTTTAGGCCAGGAATGGTGGAACACAGCTGTGATCCCACAAGCTGGGGCAAAAGGTCAAGTTTGAGCCTAGGCTGGCTTAGTGATTGAGAAACTTAGGCTTAGTGACTTACCGAGACCTTGCCTCAAAATAACAGACAAAAAAAGAGCTGGAATCGCAGCTTGGTGTGGAGGGCCTGGCTTCAGCTCCTGTGGAGATGCGACTCTTTCAATGTCACTAGGATCTCAGCTGGCCCTGAGGCCTTGTGGCTACAGCTTGCTCACGAGCTGGTAGCACCGGAACCATGAGAAGTGCGGCCTCCCTGGAGAAGTGAGGTCACTGGGGGACCCTGGAGGGGACACTGGGCCCCGGCTCCTGGCTCCCTCTCACCGTTCTCAGCTGTCGGGTGTGCAGCCCAGTGAAGCCAATGGCCTGCGGCTGGGCCCCGGGAAACTGAGCTAAAATAAGCCTTGTCTTCTCTTCTGTTGATTTAGCTCAGGGACACTCAGCTAGCGCACACGTCTGAGGGCTTCACTCTCAGTAATCCGAACACAAGATGTCTGGGAAACCACCAAGGGCCACCGTCACGGGGCAGGTGCACTGTCCACTTTAGAAGCCCATAACCAGGTGTGCACACCTGTAATCCCAGCACTCCGAGGCTCAAAATAAATAAATAAATAAATAAATAAATAAATAAATTTTTTAAAAAGGTTCCTTTGGCTCCTCCCCTGCCTAAAGACACAGTCCCCAGCCTGGGCAGGCCTGCAGCTGAGCCTGCGCCCTGCTGTCTCCCTGGGACCCTCCTGGATCAAGGAGGCCGAGCCCACACGCAGCTCGCCCGCATGGGAGGGCTGGATCTGGACGCCAGTGCAGAAGGCACACAGGCCTCTGCGAGGAGCAGGAAAACAGCAGGCAGGCAATTCACCTTTAAAGGGGGCAGGTCGGGCTGGGGTGCAGCGCCTGGCTCCCTGGCTGCAAGGCCGTGGGTGCGCCTCCAGCTCTGCAGAAATGAAACAAAGCACCATGCCAGAAACTCACAAGTAAAGGTGGTGGCAGCGGGAGAGCCCAAGCACTTGCTTTTCCCTTTCTCACTGAGGACTGAACTCCGACGAGGCGACAACAGGCTCCAGCCCTGGCCTCCCTGCTTCCGGTCCACTCTGCTCTCTGCTAGCCCAGGCAGCAAACAGGGCTTGTTCCTCCTGGGCTTCCGAGCTCCTGCGCCCCTTCTCCAGGATTCCTCCTTTTCAGTTCTCTTGATTTTATTGAGCTACACCACGCAGCAGAGCACAGTGTTCCACTCCGTCACTGAGCTTTTTTACTTTTATTTCGTGGAGGTGGACACTCCCTGGGGCCCAGGCTGGTCTTCGCCTTGCGATCCTCCTGCCTCAGCCTCGCGAGTGCTGGGGTCACCGGCGTGATGCAGGAAGATGCATCAGACTCCGGCTCGCGGCCGCGGGGCCTTTGCGCTGTCTCAGGCGGCTCTCCTGCCTCTCTCCTAATCCCTGCCCCAGCGGTCGCCTCCTCCAAAGGAATCTCCACTCCGCACCGTCTGCCTCCAGGCGCACAGGGTGACAGGGAACACCGAGGGGCGCGGTCGTCCTGGCCCGCCAGGCCTGGAAGTCACTGCTGCGCTCAGGACTCGCTTTTGGGATTCGCTCGACTTCCGGGGCTGGGGGGAGCGCAGGGGCCGCAGAGGCAGGGAGAGGAGAGCGGCGGGTGGACGCATCTGTGGGGGGCCTTGTCGCCTCCGTGCGCACACGGCCCGGGGCAGCGCCACGCACACAACCACTCGAAAGCGGACCACGCACATGCACGCAGGCAGCGCACACACGCACAAGCACACGTGCGCACGCACGCACACGCATGCATGCACACATGCGCGCAGCTCTCACACACGTCCATGCACACATATGCACACACGCACGCTCCCACACACTTGCACACGCATGCACCCACACTCACATGTGCATACCACACTCACGCACACACGCATATACACCACACCAATAAAGGGGCACAGATTGTAAGGTGACTCCAGCTAAAACTCGGGGGCCACTAGGAACGTTGGTGCACAAGTTTAAAGAAAAACTCAGCATCTTATTGTCTCCCTAATGTAAGAACCTGAAAGCTAGATAAAATCCGAAAGGCACAATAGATACTGTGAAGAGGAAAGAATCTGTACAAAGGGAAGGAACGACTGGGAAGAGGACAGAAGAAAAGAAAGAAAGAAGGGAAAAAGAAGTATATATGTATATACACAGGATAGCTTGGCTAATTGTACTGCTGATTTCTGCTGGTCTATTGAAAGGAGCAGTTAATGCTTAAATTTTTACACTTTTCTTTTTAATTATTTTTCAACGGATTTTACATGCTTATATACCTGGTAATCTGAACAACTAATTTGAAAACAACAATATGAAACAATATGCATTCTAGGGGCTGGTGAGATGGCTCAGTGGTCTAAAGCACCTACTTAGAACAAGCTTAGCAAAGCACAGGGACCGCGGTTCAATCCCCCA